AAAAGGTTGAACAGTTAACTGAATCTTTGGCCTGGACCAAACCCATCGAGGTTGAAGAAAAGAGCAGAGATGAGGAGTTCGAAGATTATTTGGAAGATCTGTTCTTGTGATTGCTGAACATGGCTAATGATGTATTACTGAGCTGGCATATCTCTTCATTCTGGAACTGTTTGCTCTGCCACGACGATTAGGGAAGAGTCTACGAGAGGTTGGGACTTTCGCCAAGACACAGGTGCTAAGTGTGGCAGAATGGTCGTTGTTTGCTACAAAACAAAACTTGTTGTTTGCTGAATTTTGGTGGAACGGACAATTGCATACCGATGCGGTTCAAATTTTATATTGCGTTTGTTAACTATTTCATTATCAAATTACTGATTGAAATTATTAAATTTTTTGTCATAGGAAAAGCTCGTAGGTCGTGTTTTTACTGTTTCATTTCCTGTGCACTCGCTTTACTATTCTCTGTAGTTTATTTTCGTTACAATTTTCTTCTACAGTTTCGTTAGTCAGTGTCTATTACTGTATTTTATAATTTTGTGTGTAGATCTGGAAGTCAGTGCATGGGTTTTAAAACAGCGATGAGTTTAACATTCTTTTTAATAATACTTGAATTGCTGTTTGCAATTTTTAGCCGCGTTATAAAAAAGAACGGCCACTGATTGACAAGCAGTAGGCAACAGAGCTTGACTCCAAAATCAAGAATAAGACCAGACGAAGAACGTGAAAAGTCGACGTTGAGCAACGGACTAGAGTAAGTGCTATCATTTACGTCAGAGGGTTGCATCAGACTGCAAGGTTTATACGATGCTGTGCATAATGCTGTCTATGGTCTGCGTAGGAAATGATTTATTCTGACGTAATTAACTGACTGATTCTCGTATGGGTATGGAAGACCATGCCTCGACTATCCTCAAACTATATATTCTTATTCTTTTACCCAATTTCCTGACGAGTAGGTTTGGTTGTTTGGCCACTGTCCATGACAGTAAGATTGGTTATCACCTGCACTTTCTAACCATTTTAATCGTAGTTGATTGATGCACATGTCATAGAAATATTAACCTACCGTGTAGAACCATGTCTGCTGTGAAGTAGCTTCGTACCAGCGCATCTCGATAGAAATTTAATTATCTCTGATAAGGTGTCGAGAACAGCTCAAACTGGAAATATGGTCGTCTCCAGAGAAAGGATTAAGTTATTGCCCAATATTGTTGTCGTATTGACCAAAACTCACGCGAGTTCAATACTGTCAGAATGTTATTACGGTGGTTTATCGAATTTCAAACATTAAAGTTATGTCCATTGCAAATGTAAAAATCTTAACGTCATATGCCAACAGTTTTAGTATTTTGCGTTGGATACAACTTTCCAATAAATTCCCCTCCTCCTAGCAGAGGACTGCAGTACGACGTTACTAAGCTAATTTGGGACCACTACTACCTGAAGAGAAAATTTATAAAGTACAAAATAATTAATCAAAGATACAATGCCAAGGTTGTTAAGATTTTAAATACCAGATTTTCGAAAGAATGTTGTAAAAGTGTTTTTGAAACTTTATACTACACAAAAATCGAATTTGCTCATGTTTTCATACCTTTCCATACTTTTTCGATCGATGGAGTAACGCCGATAAGATATTATCTTTTAATGCTAATTGTTTTGCTTCGATGAACCCAATCCAATCATGCATCTTGTTATAGCATAAACAGTGCCATGAATGGTTTTCTGGTTCGGGGATATTGCGCAGTTCATCTTAACCCTCGTAATGCATCACTGATAACAGTCCAATCATGTCTTATTACCTTGTTTATCTACGGCTGTTGCGGGCATTTGGTAACAGAAGGAGGCGTGTTGGATGCAAATACTGTTTGTCTTTGATAACATAGATAGAGATAATCAACGCATGCTGGGCAGTGATCAGGATCAGTTTCTATAATAATTGTATTTAACTGAGTGAGAGTTGATTGATGTGTCAAAATTGTACAGTGCATAGGTGTACATTTTTACTTTTTACCTAAACGTGTGATTCACATAATGTGATGTAGAAGAACGTTGATCTATATCACTGATAACGATACCGTACGATTCAGTATTCTGGCGGTATTTCGGTTTGAGACAGCCAAACATTACTTTGGTCATTAGTCGGCTGCGGAGCGTCTTCCCGTTTTACGGCGCATTTTTCATAGCTTTTAATTGCGTTGTAATAGTGACTCCAAACATCGTCGTTGTGAATGCACATGGTACCACCTCCGCGACGCAATTGGCCGTGCTGTAAAGTGAATTACACATTACAGTTAGGTTCCCGTCCTGACATTTGCGTTTCTTGCCTGTCGATTGATGTCTCCAATGCACACCCATGACTTATCCGATGTGGATACGGCCCATTTCGAGTGGTCTCGCGTTGTCGGGAAGTATATGCCGTCAGTCAGTTGAATGTCCTTGACATCGAGCACTCGATATTGGGAGCTGCAGTTGGAATGCATGTTTCCTTGACCGTTTCTCCACGTTTCGGTGAGCAAGCTAGTCTTCAGCACTTTCGATACGTAATCCGTATATAGTTCTGGCGAAAATGTAAGCAAACATAGCTTTACGTGTTTCTCAGCGGATACAGCATACATTGAAAAAATCATAAAAAGCAAATACCAGTTGTATATCTAACGGACCTTGAGTTCACCGGTGGATCATGCTGCTGAGTGACTCAAAAATGTCCTGCTGACACTCACCGGGATCATGTAGCATTGGTATTGAAATGGGGCTAAAAGTCAATGCCAGGAAGATGAATATTATGAAATCGTCCGCAAACTTTTATCTGGTTGTCAAAAGATATTATGGGTTGGTACTATGATCAAAGAGGTGGATTTTTTCAAATGCCTGGGAACTGTGCTAACCCTGGTCCCATTGATCCTGAGATAAACCGGCGAATTTGACTGACATTGACAAGTTTTTGTCAAAATATCAGGATGATTCAAGTCAGCAGATACAAAGATCACCATTCTGAAAGTAACTGTACTCACGATGCTCATGCACAGTCTCGAAACATCTGCCGTTCTTAAACGTCTTGAAGATCGTTCAGATAATTTCTAGTAACGGTGTCTGCGAAATATCCTGAAAGTGCCATTTTACCATCGGTCCCCGAGCGAGCAGGAGCCGATGACCACCGACCTGAGAAAGCTATCGGATTAGGTCAGAGACCAGCCCTTGACTTGGATTGATAAAACCCTTGGACTTAAATGATCAGGATCTTTTCAAAACTTCTCTCACATGGGAACTGCATAATGATCGTCGACGGGTTGCAGGACAATGCAAAACGTGGAAACACATTGTCGAGGCAGATTTGTTGGCGATGAGGCATGTTACTATTGCTGCAGCAGTGAACGTTTCCAGATATCCATCTGGGATACAATTTCTAGAGGTCAGACTTCATAAATCTGAACCACTCCGCTGTGCAAGTTCAATTACCCCTTGATGAAGAAGAACAACAAAAAATTTGACTGTATGCACCTTGCCGGTATTATGTTAATTGCTTACTACCTTGACCTCGCCGAAATGACTCAACGTTTCTGCTGAAAAATTGTTTATGAATTGTTTCTTCTGTTCGTGAAGTCAAAACGAACGTCAACAAGGAGCTCATCAGATATCAATCAGCAAATTTGGTAAACGCCTGGCCAGCAATAACAGCAGAAGTGTACCTGGTCGTGCAAATGACACATTGCGAAGTGATAACTAACTGCACCAAACCAGCATCTCTGCAGCGGGGGTCGTGCAGCAGCTAGGACGAAGGACTATTGGCAGCGCGAAGTACGCTGAACAGTATTTTCTGTAATCGGGAGAGTCCTGCAGTGAAATTTGAACTTACTGGCTATCTGCGAAACTGTCCTCATTCTTGAACCGGAAAGTGGGTATGAAACGTAGACCTTAGGACTGAATGCTGTTCATAAACAGGGTACGCGACGCAGGATGGAAGATATATGCTGTGAATAACGGATAAAGATAGGAAAATGAATGAATTATTTAGAACTCGATTCTGCGACGTAATTGCCCTAGTGACGAAGTGACAATGGGCAAGACACACTCGAAAAAGAATGGGTCATTGCTGTATCATAGAGACATTGGATTGGGTTCGGAGAGAGGATTGACGCCCTGTTGGAAACTTCTAAATCGATAGTAGGATTAACTGAAAAAGCTCGGTGGATCAATGATGATAAATTAGAATTTCAGGGTGTCGATGAATAAAAAATCTTTTACGTGAATTATTTACACACGACAATTTCCTGTATAGATGAATTCTCAGAAATTAGAACTTTATAGTAAAGTCTTAGAGAGGTTTCGACCATCTGTGGATCGGAAAAGGCTGATAATAATGAGGTTAACGAAGCAGTGGTAGACTTTTCTGTGGAACAGTGCTCTAACTGCAGACTGCAGTCTAAAACGAAAAGATAATGGTCGCGCATAAATTAATTAATTAATTCTCAGCAGAAGCATAGTAGATTCCATTCTCTTCTTGCTGAACGATGTGAAGACTCAGCGTGGGTGACGGTATGTTTGAAAAATGTCAGATGAATTATGTATCGTGAAATGAACTGAAACAAAGTTCGCATCGACTGAATAGTCAATATCTAGATGATCCGGTGAATTCATTTTACCCAGATTTACATACTGTTATCATTATTCCTGTTAGTAGACGAGGATAACCGATGTTGACGATAAACAATTAATTGCGTTTTTTACAAGAATCAGTCACTATTTTAATAAATAAATGTGTTCATGGAATATTGCCAAATGTGACTAAGAGCTCCAGTATGCTTAATACATGAACCAAAAGAGTATGGATAAGAGCGTGAACAAATTTTGGTCGTCCATCCTAACAAACGACTAATGACTCAGATTCTTCAAGCTAAATTTCAGATCCAATGGTCGTGTGTAGCGAGTAGTAAGGAGGAAATCAGAAACCGAGTATCAGTTTTTCTAGGATACAGCATGCAGTGAAGGAAGTACGTTGCTAGCGTTGCTCGGAAAGTGCGTCAAACTGGCTCGTTCTCTTGGCCACTTAAACAGGTTCAGATATCATAATTGTATGAAGGCTACTCCAGAGGACACGAATCTGACCTCTAATACGGTATGTGGCAAATCTACTTCCGTAAGTTGACAAGAAGGAGTATTCGATGTTGCGGAATGCTATTAAAACGGTGTTTTTTCTCGTTAATCTAGAGTCGAAGGAAGAAATCGGCAGCATTGCTGCGGAGTTGGTGGAGTCTGCGGCTTTACTTGGCACAAAGGTAGATGTAGATCGAAAACACCTTATGTACGATGCAGCAAAGTTTGTCAGTGAGCGAGAAACCAGTTCCGACCTCTCGTGTACTATACCTAAACCATGGTTGCTCAGTCTGTAGAGTGTCGAACTCAGAACCTATATGTCCCGAGTTCAAGCCCCGATCACGGTCATTCGCCCTTCTTCCTCCGAGAGTTGATAAATGAATATCACTCTATGTTTACCACATGGCTGCAGAGTCTGCCTTTAAAAAATAACTGACTCCAGACTGATGGCATTGAAGTAAAGATCAGCATCGCACCCTCAACTGCATGAAAATAAGGAAGCCAAAATGACCCAGTCGTGAAAGTGTAGGAAGGCCGACATTTCAACGGTGATAAAGTTTCCTTCTACCGTGCGTAAGTCTACGGATGAAGCGTTCTGTCTTTCTAGTTATTATTGAATGTATTATCCATCTGTTCTTTGGCTACTCATTCCTCTTTTCTGATTTATCATCTAGTCTTAAATGGAACGTTTCTTTCATGACCCTAC